TAGGCATGTACCACCACTCCCACTCCCAGCTAATTTTTTTGATATTTTTTTGTAGAGATAGGGTTTTGTCATGTTTCCCAGATTGGCCTTGAATCCCTGGGCACAAGCGATTCACCTGCCTCAGCCTTCCAATGTGCTGGGATTACAGGCATGAGCCACCAAGCCCATCTCTCAACACTTCCTTTTTTTTTTTTTTGAGACAGAGTTTTGCTCTGTTGCCCAGGCTGGAGTGCAGTGGTGCGAGCTCAGCTCACTGCAACCTCTGCCTTCCAGGTTCAAGCAATACTCCCATCTCAGCCTCCCAGCTAGCTGGAATTAGAGGCATATGCCACCATGCCCAGCTCATTTTTGTATTTTTAGTAGAGATTGGATTTCACCATGTTGGCCAGGGTGGTCTCAAACTGCTGACCTCAAATGATCCATCCACCTGGCCTCCCAAAATGCTGGGATTACAGGTGTGAGCCACCACACCTGGCTTTTTTTTTTTTCTTTTTTTTGAGAAAGTCTCAGTCTGTCATCCAGGCTGGAGTTCAGTGGCACAATCTCAGCTCACTGCAACCTCCACCTCCTGCGTTCAAGCAATTCTCATGCTTCAGCCTCCTGAGTAGCTGGGATCACAGGCATGCGCTAATTTAACCCCAGCTATGTCATCCTTCTTTTCTCAATGGTATCTCTTGGAAATTAATTTATCTTTTTCTTCAAATATATTGTAGTCTGAGAATTAGAAATTTAACCAAGCACTGACTAAGCACCCTTCACTTAAGCTTTTAGTGTCTTGTCTCTAGGATGCATACCTGAACACACTGTGTCTGCTTCATTTCCTTCCTCTGCTACCTCCCATGTCTCTGCAAATAGTCTAATCTACCGCCAAAGGCACTCAGTTTCCAAGCTTTCATTCTGAGCTCCAGCATCTTCTTGAGGACATGAAGAGATTGGAGCATTTTTGCCTTCAACTTTATTTTAGTTAGGTTGTCTTCCTGATTATCTGCCTTGCATCACATGCTGAGCTGAGAGGAATAGCTGTTTTTGTTTGTTTGTTTTATTTTGTTTGTTTTTGAGACAGCGTCTTATTCTGCTGCCCATGCTGGAGTGCAGTGGTGCAGTCATGGCTCACTGCAACCTTGAACTCCTGGGCTCAAGTTATCCTTCCACTTCAGCCTCCCAAGTAGTTGGGACTATAAGCATGTGCCATCATGCCTGGCTAATTTAAAAAATTTTTCTTTTGTAGAGATGGGGTTTTGCTGTGTTCCTCAGGCTTTTCTCAAACTCCTGGCCTCCAGTGATCCTCCTGTCTCAGCCTCCCAAAGTGCTGGGGTTACATGCATGAACTACCGTGTCTGGCCAAATGCTTGTTTTTTGACAAGCATTTCAGAAGTTACTCATCCATATGAGCTATATATTTTTCTAAGGAGGTTTTGTTGTTGTTTTGAGGCCCACATCAAATCATTTCTGGAGCTCCTCATTTAGAGTAGTTCTTATTGATGCCATTGTATATGATCAGCTCTTAGTTTAGAAACAGTGGATAAGCAAAAACGAATAGGCATATTCCATGCCTTCAATGTTTTCTGCCTATTAAAGGTAAATTAGGCCAGGCCTGGTGACTCATGCCTATAATCTTACCACTTTGGGAGGCTGAGGTGGGAGAATTGCCAGAGGCCAGGAGTTCTAGACAAGCCTGGGCAACATAGGGAGATGGGCAACATCTCTACAAAAAATAAAATAATTTGATCGGTGTGGTGGCTTACGTCTATAATCCCAACACTTTGGGAAGCTGAGGTGGGAGAATCATTTGAGGCCAGGAGTCTGAGACCAGCTGGCCAACATGGTGAAGCCCTGTCTGTACCGAAAATAGAGAAATTAGCTGGGTGTGGTGGTGTGCCCCTGTAAGCCTACCTACTCCAGAGGCTGACGCAGGAGAATCACATGAACCCAGGAGGTGGAGGCTGCAGTGAGCTGAGATTGCACCACTGCACTCCAGCCTAGGTGACAGAGCAAGACCCTGTTTCAAAAAACCAAAACAAAGACAAAGACAAAACCAAAACAAAAAAAGAGTTAGCCTGACATGGTAGTAGTACATGCCTGTAGTCTTAGCTACTCAGGAGGCTGAGGCAGGCAGATTCAGGAGTTAAAGGCTGCAGCAAGCTGTGACCACACCACTGCACTCAAGCCTTGGTGGTAGAGCAAGACCTGTCTCTTAAAAGAAAAAAGATATGGATCTTACAAGAGGACAGTGATGAATCTCACCATATCATTCAACTTCAAAACTTTTTTGGCTTCTTGCTGCTTAAAAAGCAGTGGTTTTCAAATTTGAGGAATGTACAAATTCCTTTTAAGGTAAATAATTCATCTTGGACCCGAAGTGCTGCTTAAACTATTTTTATTATAATGTTACTTAAGTATGTGCAAACATAAAACAAGGTTGAAGTCATGTATAAAATTTGTATACCAATGCAAACAAAAGCAGATTTATGCTTTAAGTAAAAATAAACTTCAGATCCAATAAAATGATGCTTTTTTGCTGAAAATCAGTTGCTTCCAGGCTCTTTTAAGTTCAGCATGTCTGTATTGCTGGGTACCACATGATGACTCATTCCTCCCACCATTTTTCTTTATTTAAGCTACTATGAAACTTTGATTCATGATCTCATTTGACCTTCACTGGGCTGGAATGTATTCCTTGTGTATTGTGTATTAAGTCTACTTCTACGCCTTCATAATTGACTTTTAACAAAGTATAGGGATAACTTTGTTTTCTGTATGTTTAAACAGAATACAGATATCAAAATTATTTTAAAGGCTACTTTTTATGACTATCCATTTAAAAAAATCACATTATATTATTGAGGAATCACTAGCTCTAGTGCTCCATGTATGGTGATGATGCAATTTGCCTTATTGCAAATGACCACTCAATTGTTGTTTCAGTTAGAGTTCATTCCTTTTATGATAGAAAATCATTTCAATCTGATATAAGCAAAAAGGGAAATGTGTTTCTTGCATAAAACTGAAATATCTATGAATAGGGCTTTCTACAGGCATGATCTGACTCAGGGCTTAAATTATGTCAGCTGGATTTTTTTTTTTTTTGAGACAGGCTGTCACTCTGTTACCCAAGCTGGAGTGCAATGGCACAATTGTGACTTATTGCAATCTCGACCTCCTGGGCTCAGATGATCCTCCCACCTCAGCCTCCTGAGTAGCTTGGACCGCAGCCCCACAACACCACACCTGGCTAATTAAAAAAATTTTTTTTAGTAGAGACAGGGTCAAACTATATTGCCCAGGCTGGTCTTGAACTCTGGAGTTCACGTGATCCTCCTGCCCTGGCCTCTCAAAGTGCTGGGATTATAGGCATGAGCTACCGTGTCTGGCCTATATTAATTTATTTTGATCAGGGCTATCTAATAGAACTTTCTACAATGATGGGAATGTTCTATAATTTATGCTGTCCAATATTGTACCCACTAGCCATATCTAGCTATTGGGCACTTGAAGTTTGGCTAGTGCCATTGAAGAACTGAATTTTTAATTTATTTAATTTTTATAAATGTAAATAGCCACTTGTGGCTACTGCACTGCTTGGACAATACAGCTTTGAATAATAATATTAAATAAGAGAATGGCTATAAAGTGCTTCCCAGTGTGCTCTATACTAAGCACACATTAGATGTGAGAGGAGGAGAGGTCTATAGATTCTGTCCTGAAAAGGGCTGGGCCTCACCTAACTGGCAAGAGCAACCTGAGTTAGGCTCATCCCAAGACAATACTAGTAGCTATCTTAGCATGGTAGTTAAGACTCTTTGTGACATGGCTTCAACTTTCTTCTGGCACTACCTTCCATATATTCTATATTCTAGACCGAGGTCCCCAACTCTGGGCCACGGACTGGTATTAGTCTATGGCCCAGCAGGTACTGGTCTGCACAACAGGAGATGAGCAGTGGATGAAGGAGCATTACTGCCTGAACTCCACCTCTTGTCAGATCAACATCGGTATTAGATTCTCATAGGGGTGCAAACCCTGTTATGAACTGCACATGTGAGGGATCTAGGTTACGTGCTCCTTATGAGAATCTAACTAATGCCAGATGATCTGAGCTGGAACAGTTTCCTCCTAAAATCATCTCCCTGCCCGAGGTCCATGGAAAAATTGTCTTCCATGAAACTGGTCCCTCATGCCAAAATGGTCTGGGACTGCTGTTTCAGACACATCAAATTTCACATCTTTACTTTGGCACCTGTCTTCATTCTGTATCAGGAACATTCCTCCCCCCAAACCCATGAAATATTTCAGATAAGCTTCTACTAATCCTTTATGTTGCAATACATCATCTTCTCTGAGGCTGTCCTTGAACCCCTAGGCAGTTATTTCTTTTCTCCTCTGTGCTCTGTGTATTTTTCTTTATCAGGATCTGTGCTTTATTCATGCTGTTTAGCTTTTGATCTCGTCCATTGGATTGGGAACTAACTTCCTCAAGGCTTGGCACTAAGTAGGCCCCTTATGAATGCTCAGTTGAATAGTTGGATAGATGGATGGATGGATAGTTTATTCTCAACCCGGTTCACAGCAGTTTAAAAATAATTCCAAAATCAGATTTATTGAGGTATAATTTACATAAAAGATGAAACACCTATTTTAAATGTACAGTTGGATGTATTTTGACAGATGTTATCATTTGTGTAAGTACCACCACATTCAAGATATAGAATATATCCATCACCTTATAATGCTGCATTTGTGATTTTTCCCAGTCAGTTCCCACCTCCCTTCCTGGCTCCAGCTGACCATTGATCTACTTTCTATCACTATAAATTTGTCTTTTCCAGGATTTCATATAAATAGACTCACTGTGTATACTCCTTTCATACTTAGTATTTTATGGGACAGAGAAATATTAAACATACAAATATGGTAAATATTAAGGTCAGTATGACCATGACAATAAATGCAAGCAGTGCTTGGCATTCTGGAGTCATGGCTTTGCTTGTCTTTTTTCACAGTATACAATTGGACCGTGGATGAAGTGGTACAGTGGCTGATCACATATGTGGAGCTGCCTCAGTATGAGGAGACCTTCCGGAAGCTGCAGCTCAGTGGCCATGCCATGCCAAGGTCAGGAGGGGACTGGATTTTCTTCATTTGAGGGTACAGGGAATGGGCTGGAGTGGGCCTGCCTTCAGATTGCTCTGGCCAGTTAAGTGAGGTTCTACCCTTTTCAGGGCAGCGTCTGCAGATCTTGCCTCTTCTCACATCTGTTGTGCACTTGCTATAAAATATGATGGGCACTTTGCATCCACTCTCTTCTTTAGTATTTCCATCAGTCCTGGGAATAGTACTAATAGCTGCCATTTACTGATTGCTTAGTACATGCAAGGCATTCTACTCAACACTATATACAGTATCTCATTTAATTCTTATATCAGTCATGTAAGGTGGGTATTATTGTATATAGATGATGAAACTGGTTTCCCAAGGTCACAAACATGACTAGTTAGGGGCAAAACTGAGATTTGAATCTGGGTATACATCAAAGCCTGTGGTGTTTGTCTCTCTCTCTTTTTTTTCTGTCCCCTGAGCAGCTGCCTCTTTTATCACCCAGGAGCCTTGGGGTTCTTTTAGCCTCCCCTGGGTTATCCATATACAGCTTATTTATAATAAAAATGGTACAGGGAGAGGCTAATTGTCCTTGGCCCCAGCCTCTTCTCTGGGATGACTCCAGCAGCTGTTGTATCATAACTCTTTGCCTCCTTTACACACTCAATATGCTAGGGCTTGTGCTGGGAGTGGGGAGGGAATGGAGTACAGCTTGGACTTCTTGTTATGCCAAACTAGTGCCATATGTCATTCAGTCATTAATCCATTTACTTATTCATCCAACAAATATTTACTGTGTACCTGCTCTGTGCCAAGCACTTGTGCTGGGTGCTGGGGATAAAGATGACAACAACCTGCCCTTACCCTCAAAGGGCTTACTGTCTGGTAAGTGCTGATTATATATAATCTGTCATCTTATTATGTAGGTGCATCTGGTTTTGAGCTTCGGCAAAGGGGAAACAGGGAGGTGAAGCTGCTGGAATGCCCACACATTGCAGTCTCCAGCCACAGAGCTACTGAGCACTGCTGTCCAGGCCTAGCTGAGCTGGCTGTTCCCTCCTCTGCTGCCTGCAGCCTCTTCTTCACAGCTTCTCCCTACTCTGGAGAGAGTAATAATCTTAATGTTTGTACCTCCCTTTATAGAGTGCTTTCCTACCCATTATTTCAGTTGATTCTCACAACTCTGGGAGGAAGAGTATCCCATCTTTTGGGTGAGCAAACTGAATCTCAAATATTTTATAATTTATCCAAGCTGGCAAGTGGCAGAGTTGGGATCTGAACCCAGGTCTGTCTTGTTCTAAATGCCCTGTTTTATTCCCACTGCATCTTCCTCTTGTGCTATGTGGTTAAAGATAGGTTCCTTTCAATATTCAGTTTAGTTCTATTTTACAAAACTTCATGAAGCACCTATACCATGTGCCGTGCTTTCTGCTGGGCTCTGAGGGCAAAGAGATGCATTTGATCTGACCCCTGATTTGAGGAACTCCATGTTTAATGGAAAAGTAGATGATTGATAACTAAGATCCAAGATTTAGGGTTCTTTCTTGCTACCCAAAGAAATAGCAATATTGCCTTGTGGATCCCTGGACCATTTTCTTCATGGGGCATATCTATGGCTTGGATTAAAACTGCAAAGCATAGGATAAGAAGTCAGTTCTTAGGTCGTGGGTTCACTTAGCATTTTTGTGGCTAGAATTAGAGCCAAGACCAGATCCAGCCAGGCTGGGCACAGGTGTAGGGGATGCCAAGCTGTGGCACCTTAGTGACAGCAGGCATGGGGCCTTCAGTGCTTGGGGTGGAGTGAGGGTGGTTCTAAGCCCATTACTGGCTCACATGGTATAATGAGAATAATCTAGCAGATTTGAGTTCATTCTGTGGCTTTGCCACTTACTTATGTGTGACTTTGGGCAAGTTACTCAACTCTAAGTCTCCGTTTTCGTATCTAGAAAGTGGCACTAATAATGGAACTGAGTTTTTAAGGTTGTTGTGAGGACTGAATGAGGTATTGTATGTAAAGTATCAGAACTGTACCAGACACACATTACTTGCTTAGTCAATGTTAGCTCCTTTTTCATTTCTTTCATTGCTTACAAGCAGATAGCATTCCAGTTCATAGGTTTCTTTGAGAAATAGACTATAGAAAAGGTGACAATGTTTATTCTTATTAGTCAGACAAACTACAGCACATCTGGCAGAAGTGCCTTAAAGAGGAACCCCAAAAACTCCCAGGCTTGTAGGAAGCATCTGATTTTACATCAGTTTACACAGAAGGAATCTGAGGTCCTAGGGGAGGAACAAACCAACTTTTAATTGGGCAAGTGAGTCAGTAGTAGAGCTGAGATGAGAAGACAGCTCTCCTGATCACTCCCACTCCCCATCACAGTGCCTCACTGCCTCTCTTATCAGTGGTCTTAATTGCTTTCCAAGGCCAGAGAAGGAAGTAGCTGTTCGTACAAGGTCAGACAGGAGTATAAATCACACTGTGATGTCAGAAGCTTCTTTTCTAGCTGGGGAAATAAAGCTTTGCATCAGAAAAGAGCACCAACCTTATAGAGTAGTATGGAATTAAGTGCTTATTTGTGGGGCCTAGACCAGTGGTTTTCAACCTTTCCTATCTTTTACCCCTCTCCTCCTATATCCACTGTGTTCCAGCAGAAGAGAACAAAGTTTCATTTTTCCTATGTCATTTTCTTGTTTATAGGCTCTCTCATTAAAGTTATCACTGATAGTATGGGTGGAGGTCATAAAAAATTACAGTAATTTTATTGGAGGTAACTTGTATTGCAGTGACTCAAATACAAGCTAACAGGACTAATTCCATTTTTGTCATCAGTGGTTAATTGAATTTTTTTTTCCTTTTCTATATTTCATTTCAATAGCACATCAGCACGTTTATATATAATGACAGTGGGTTTAAGTAGGATAATTCATAAGTCCCAGATTCACTGGGTCATATGGCCTGAGAGTTTGACCTGGGCTGCACAGGAAATGCATTTATAAGTGGTGGGAAGTGGGGACAATATATAGAGTATATGCCCTGGAAGGAGAAGCACAACAGAAAATTTAGTTGGGTGTGGGAATGGTCACAGACAGGTAATCCCTAGAGGATAGGGTGCTTAAGTTGGCGGATATGGGGAAAGGGCTGAACAAATTCTTGGCAAATATTATATGTCCCTCTATATTCCCTGTTGAGATCCAACTGGTATAGACTCTGTGTTCTAGAGTGCAGAGGGGAGCAATCACTAAGAGCTAGAAGTGTTCCTGGAGGAAGTAGGTAATCCTACCAGGATCCTTGCTGGCTTTACTGGCAGTAAAATGACCAGCTACTCTTTGCCTCAACAGGCTAGCTGTCACCAATACCACCATGACAGGAACTGTGCTGAAGATGACAGACCGGAGCCATCGGCAGAAGCTGCAGCTGAAGGCCCTGGATACAGTGCTCTTTGGGCCTCCTCTCTGTGAGTACTGTGTAGAGAAGAGCTACTGCTGTGCCATGGAAACCAAAGATGTTGTCGTAGATAGGCTAAGGCTCTTAGTCTCCTAGGCACATCTGCAAGGCAGCACCTCCATCATTTCCACCAGTATTAAAGTATGAAAGAGTCTTACATTTTAGTTCAGACACATAGCAACATGCATTCATTAAATACTTTAAGGAAATCATCTGCATTGTGTCAGTGCTGTGCTGGACCCTGTAGGAAGACCTGGAGTGAATCATGTTCTGCCCTGCAGGGATAACGTGACTGTTCTACAGAGGTACACAGTGCTTCTGAGACCCAGAGGAAGGTTAGTAAAGGTGTCCTATAGACAAGGTGACATGTGACCTCTGCCTTTAAGGGTGGATAGAGCTCTATTCTATGGAGGTGGCAAAACAGGACATTCTAGGCAGAATAAACAACCTGAGCAAGACTACAAAAGCTAAAATATGAAAAGTATGCTCAGGGATAGAAGTAACCCACTATGGGCTGAAAGCTTTTTAGCTGTTACCTACTTCCATATTTCATTTCAATTGCACATCAGCAGGTTTATATATATAATGACAATGGGTTATTGTAGACATGTAGAGTACATGAACTGATTAGTGAACATCTTTGTATCATTGGATGACCAAGGAGGACTAAGTGGGTTTTCACTGGAGCGGTAGACACACTCAGGCCTAAGAAAGGGTGGTCTCTTCAGCCAGGGGCTAGTTAAAAGAATTAGGTTGTTCAGTCTCTACAGATCTATGTGGTGGAAACGGCCAGCCCTGCCATCCTTTTTCTAATTCTAAGTGAACCAAGGGGGAACAAAAAGTAGTGAGATTTATTGGAAAACTATCCTTGACCAAACAGGCTCTTAGGGCCCACTTTCTGCTCTTTGGAAATGGCTGGAATCAGTTTAGGGTGCCAGCTGTAGAATGCTATTGAACCAGGAACAAGTCCAGAGAAGCAGCTGGCAGGCAAGGTCAGAGGCAATATAACATTTCCCTGTCTATGGATATGGCTTGGCAAATGTGCAAGCTGATGTCTCAATACAAGTGGATCTATACTTTTTGAAAGTATGAAACAGAGCAACCTGGGAGAAGACTACCGTTTCCACTTCCTTTGCCACCTTTTTTGGGAGGAGTGGAGGGTACTAGGACACATTTTGCTCACCTTCACTGGTAGGTTTTGGATAATGACACAGTGAATGGTTCTACTCTTTATGTAAGGCCTAGTCTCTGTATTGAGCAATGGCCCTTCAGTCATTCACTAACATTTATTGAGTACATTTTGTATACTAGTATAAATGGCAAGGTCCCTGCTCTCAAGTACTTCCAGCTAAATGGAGATAGCCGTGTCAACAAATACAGTAAAGTGTCAACAAATATAGTAGGTGTTATAGCTATTATGTAAATCTTTCCAAAGTTCAACTGGGGGCACAAACTAGGGAGGAGTTTCCTATTAGAGCCCAGGAAACTTTATGGAGAAAGTAATTCTTGAGTTGAGTCTTGAAAGATGAGAAGTGGCCTTATTAAACTCTCCCTGTTAACAGCTTACACATCTCTTTGTATATACCAAGAACACTTACACCCAACTATAAAAACTAGGCTACTTTTGCAAAGGTTCTCTTCTGTCACCACCTGGCAAGGGAAGGCTTTCAGCAGCCTAAAAGTCTTCCTTAGACTTGCAATATATATTGTCAAGTTGTATGTGTTTTGTATCAAAATTGGATTTACCATGTCTGAAAAGTGTACAGTAGAAACCACAAGTTAAAGCAGTCAAGGATTTTATCTGGAAAAATTAGCCAGCATGGGAACCAGAATGCTGGGGACATGGTACTGGGTCTAGGATATCAGAACCAACAAGAGGGGCCCTGGTGGAGCAGATTAGACTGATACTAGGACAGGGATACTTTTCTCTTAGGCTTATTGTATGTAGCCTGTGTGCTGCATGTGATCTAACCTAAGGAAGGTCAGAGATCAGCAGGAAAATGATCTTCCTGAGATATGGAGAACACAGGTACTGAAGCTAAGAATATATTTCATGATGATTGGGATAGTTATAATAATAATAGTTTTTTTAAAATGGAAAATAACAAGTATTGGCAAGGATATAGAGAAATTGGAACTTTTGTACATTGCTGGTGAAGAGGTAAAATGCTTCAGCTACTGTATAAAATAATCTGGTGGTTTCTCAAAAATTAGATATAGAGTTACCATAGAACCTAGCAGTTCCATAATTAGGTATATATGCAAAGAGTTGAAAACAGGTCCTCAAACTTAAGTACATGTATGTGCATGTTCATAGAAGCACATGTCATAAGAGCCAAAAAATAAAACAACCCAAATGTCTATTAATGGATGAGTAGATAAATACATTGTGGCTCAATGGAATATTATTCATCTATAGATGGAATGAAGTTCTGATACATGCTACAATGTGGATGAACCTGGAAAATGTTATGCTAAGTGAAAGAAGCCAGACACAAAAGGTCACATATTATATGATTCTATTAATATGAAATAATTAGAATAGATAAATCCACAGAGACAGAATATAGACTGATGGTTGGCAGGGGTTGGTAGGGGGAGGGAATGGGGAGAAACTGCTTACTGGGTGAGAAAATTTACTCTGGAGTGATAGAAATGTTTTGGGACTAGATAGAGGTGGTGGTTGCATAACATCATGAATGTACTATATGGCACTAAATTGCTTGTTTTAAAATGGTTACTTTTATATCACGTGAATTTTACCTCAAATTATTTTTTAAAAAGGATAAGCAACAAAAGAAAGAAGAGTTAAACTGGACTTCACCAAAATAAAAAAGTTTTATACTTCAAAGAACGTACCAAGAAAGTGAAAAGACAACCCACAAAATGGAGAAAGTATTGGGAAACATTTTTCTGAGAAGGCTCTACTATCCAGAATATATAAAAAAAATTCTTGCTAGATGCAGTGGCTCATGCCAGTAATCCCAACACTTTGGGAGCCCGAGGTGGACAGATCACCTGAGGTCAGGAGTTCGACAATAGCCTGGCCAACATGGTGAAACCCTGTCTCTACTAAAAAAATAAAAGAATTAGCTGTGTGTGGTGGCACATGCCTGTAATCCCAGCTGCTCAGGAGGCAGAGGCATGAGTATTGCTGGAACCTGGGAGGCAGAGGTTGCAGTGAGCCAAGATCATGCCACTGCACTCCAGCCTGGGCGACAGAGTGAGACCCTGTCTCAAAAAGAAAAAAAAATGGACAAAGGATTTGAACATATATTTATATATTCCATACTTCAATAGCCAATATACACCTGAAACAATGCTCAACATCATTATCAGAGAAATGCAAATCAAAACCAAAATGAGGTATCAGTTTTTACCCACTAGGATATAATAAAAAGGACATTAACAAGTGTTGGTGAGGATGTGTAGAAATTAGAACAATAGCCAAAAAGTGGAAGCAACTCAAACGTCTGTCAGTTGATGAATGGAAAAATAGATATGGTATATACATACAATAGAATATATATATATATATATATATATATATATATATATGTATATTTTTTGAGACAGAGTCTCGCTCTGTCTGACATGCTGGAGTGCAGTGGTGTAACCTCAGCTCACTGCAACCTCTGTCTCTTGGGCTCAAGCAGTTCTTCTGCCTCAGCCTCCTGAGTAGCTGAGATTACAGGCGTGTGCTGCCACGCTCAGCTAATTTTTGTATTTTTAGTAGAGAGAGGGTTTCACCATGTTGGCCAGGCTGGTCTCGAACTCCTGACCTCAGGTGATTCCCCCCACCTTGGCCTCCCAAAGTTCTGGGATTACGGGCATGAGCCACTGCACCCAGCCTTACAATAGAATTTTAATCAGCCACGAAAAGGAATGAAGTACTGATACATGCAACAACGTGGATGAACCTTAAAAACACGCCAAATGAGAGAAGCCAGTCACAGTAGGCCATGTATTATACAATTCTGTGATTTCACTTCTATAAAATGCCCAAAATAGGCAAATCCTTAGATACAGAAAATAGTATATTCTAGGGCTGGGGGGGTGGGAGGCCATGGGAAATAGAAAGTGACTGCTAATAGATATGGCATTTCTTTTTGGGGTAATGATAATATTCTAACATTAATTGTGCCAATGGTTACACAACCTAGTGAATATACTATAATCATTGAATTGCACATTTTAAGAGATTTAGAGTTTTAGGGTCTGTTAATTATATCTTAATAAATATATAAAGGCATATTTTGTTTTATTGTGCTTTGCTTTATTGCACTTTGCAGATAATTGCATTTTTTACAAGTTGAAGGTTTGTGGCAACCCTGTGTTGATCAAGCTGTTGGTACCACATTTCTAGTAGCATGTGCTCACTATTGAGTCTCTGTATTGGAATTTTTAAGCAATAAGGTATTTTTAAATTAAGGCATGCCCATTGTATTTTTAGACATAATGCTATTATATACTTAATAGACTACACTATAGTATAAACATAACTTTTATCACTGGGAAACCAAAAATTTTGTGTGACTCACTTTATTGCTATATTACCTTTATTGCAGTGGTCTAGAACTGAAATTGCAGTGTATTTGAGGTATGCCTGTACAGCTTGATTTTTTTTTTTTTTTTGTAGCTCCTGGACTTTCATTCAGATGACTTCTTATGAAGTTTAGGAAAGAACGCTGTATTGGGAGGTCACCTTGGTCCCTTTTGAAAATTGCCACTCACTGTGTGACCTTGAGTAGGTCACTTTTCTCAGGGTGTTTTATGATTTGTATCATGAGATTCCTGCATACAGTTCCTTTCAGCTGTGACCTTTTATGATTTTGGGGAGGAACTCCTTGCTTAATAAGCGTTCTGTATAAAAGACAGGAGGTTTGTTCCTTCCCAGTGTCTGCATCCTGTATTTTTAGGACTTCTGTGCTTGGTCCTTGCCTTATTAGATGACCTTTGACAATTCAGTTCTTCCTAGATTTGGGTTTCCTTATCTGTAAAATGGGCTTG